TTCTACCTCTTTCAGTCTCTGTGGTATCTTCCACTTCACCTTTTTGTCTCTTGTCATCTGAGTTCATCCTTTATCACCAAACTTTTCTGTTTTTACCTTCTCTGCACTGGTTCCTCTTACCCTCTTACTACCCCCTGACCCCTGATCCTGACCCAGTCACTCCATCTGACCAGCTATTTCTATGATGGAATGAGGAAAAAGTAAAACAAAGGCAAAAAAGACTGAACGCTGTAATGCATAGAGAGCACAGAAAAGGCGAGAGGACAGACTGCCTGACTAATAATCATTCAAGATGACAAATACAAACATGCAAACACAGCAAATACTTTAATGTGTGGATGCGTTACATGCATGTATCAGTGACCCAGCTTGTTACTTTTCTGACAAAATAAACAAACGAACTAATTAATTAATTAAACTGGTCACATAAATGTTTACCTTTCCTCTCACAATCCACTTTATCCAGACCTTTCTGGTTAGACAAGTTATCACCCACGCCCTTCTGATTCCATAGGCTCAAAGAGAGATATATAAAAGAAAAAATGTCGTCTTTGAAGAAACATGCTGTGGTAATCAGTGGAGATAATCAGCTGAGGTGGATAAATGAAAAGACTGCAGGCAGCATAGCAGAGTTTCAACATGCCATGCGGGTGCATTTTAACGCCTTTTTCAATGGTCAGAAATGCATCTACATTGCAATTATCATGTCCTGCTGCGTTTAATAATTGGAATAAAGAAATCAGTTACAGCTTAGTCATGGAACACTAAGGTCATTATGGGTCAGAACTCCAGAGTCTTTCATCAACCACTAGTGGTTTTGGTATCATTTAATCCTTGTCTCATCACACTTTAATGCATACCTGGTATTTGAGTACATTGTGCGTAACCCTTGATGATAACATAATTTATATGCAAATTTTTGCAATTATGTGCTTGGAATACGATGGGTGATCATAATTCTGTTCTGGTTACTATGACAACCTTTAAAAGCATTGATGCCGGATAGAGAAAATTCTACTTTCACCCTGACAGCATATAAGTTCATCTATAGGGAGAATATTACACGCCTCTGCTTAAACTCTGCTGTAGGGAACAGAAGTGGAAATAGAACACTAATATGTTAATCTGAATAATTCTGCATCACATATTGTACAACATGGGAGTCCAATACTATTAAGAGCTAATGGCATTCAAATGAGGCAGTGTGTGGCTCAGTGGGCTAAGCCTCTGTGCCTCTGATATGACAGTTGCTGGTTCAAGCCCAGCCCTGGCAAAATAGTCATGTCTGTGTGTCCTTGAGCAAGGCCCTTAACCTCCAGCTGAACGGACACTGCTGCAGATGGCTGCCAAGCTTGCTCTCGCGTGCATGTGTGTCATGGAGAGCAAAATGGTGTAGGTGAAAAGAGAATTTCCCTATGGGGATCAGTAAAGTGTCATTTTTGTAAAGAAGCATATAATTCTAAGTGTGGCCAGGTAGACCTGCCGTTCAACTGTGGTACATGTGTGTACCTGGCTCGCCCCTCGGCTGTGGTATGCGTGTATACCCAGCCTGCACCTCAGCTGCCATACGCATGTGTACCCAGCCTGCCCCTTGGGTGCCCTGCATGTGTGTACCCAGCCTGCCCCTTGGGTGCCCTGCATGTGTGTACCCAGCCTGCCCCATGGGTGCCCTGCATGTGTGTACCCAGCATGTCCCTTGGGTGCCCTGCATGTGTGTACCTGGCCTGCCCCTCGGCTGTCATACGAGTGTGTACCCAGCCTACCCCTCAGCTGCGATATGTGTGCATACCAGGCCTGCCCCTCGGCTGCTGTTTGCATGTGTACCCGGCCTGCCCCTTAACTGCCCTACATGTGTGTACCCGGTCTGCCCCTCGGCTGTCGTACGAGTTTGTACCCGGCCTGGCCCCTGGCTGCTGTTTGCATGTGTACCTGACCTGCCCCTCAGCTGTTGTACAAGTGTGTACCCGGCCTACCCCTCGGCTGCCATATGTGTGTATACGAGGCCTGCCCCTCATCTGTGGTACACCTGTGTACCCAGCCTGCCCCTTGACTGCCATGCATGTGAGTATCTGGCCTGCCCTTCGGCTGCAGTGATTGTGAGTATCTGGCCTGCCCCTCGGCTGCAGTGATTGTGAGTACCCGGCCGGCCCCTTGAGAATCCTACCTGATGCTGACATACTATGTGCTGGCAGGAGGTGAAGGATCTGCGTGGAGCTGGGTTTCAACGATTTCATGTTGCCATGGCAATTGATCACCAGGTCTGTGACAATGTGTTAGTGATGGGAGAAATGAGGCTTCAAATCAGACACTGCATGTGTAAGCCTGCAGGAAACTGATAAGGTAACCAGTAAGCAGAGCAGCAAGCAGGCAGTGATCGACAGGGGAGGATGATCCCGCCCGCTGTGGGTTTCTGAGTGTCATTCTTCCCATCTCTACCTGAAAAAGTTTCCTTAATGAAGCCCACCTGACTCTGATTGGGCTGATTTTCAAGTTGTTTTTGAACCTGGACACCCTGTTGCTTCCGACCCCATTTACCTCACACCACACAACCTGCCCATATATCCACATACATACCAAATAAATAAATGTACAGATGAAAATAAGTTTTAGTAGTTCAGTTGCATATTAAGTATATTCAGTAAGGAAACATTTTGTGCTTTTTACGGAAATGTTCAATAAACGCCCCTAAAATCCTTGTTTGCTGTGTAAGGTACTTGAATTTCCATTTACCCAAGGAGTGTCAAGAAACATGATACAGTACAATACAGCTAACATCCATGTAAAAAAAAAACACACACTTTGTGGGGAAAAACCCCCCCCCCCCGTTTCAGACCACAGCCCTTGCAGTATGAGGCCACTATTCACTCTCTAATCACTGCACCACACACAAAATGTTGTATGAAACTTGTTTTACATTCTTTTACATTGACATTTTTTAAAATACCATTGGAGAATCCTTGGGTACCACTGGTTTGACTTTGTGTCAAATGAGCAGTTGCTAGAGGAGTCCTGAATGAGGCACATTACCTGCATTGTGAGGGAGCGTCAGTTATGGCACTACGGCCATGTGGTGCATTTCCCTGCGGGTGATCCGGCTTGCAGGATGCTCATTGCTGAGGACCCAAGCGGCTGGACCAGGCCAAGGGGACGCCCACGTAACACTTGGCTATGGCTATGTGTCTACCTGGGGGGTGGCCGGTCGGTATCCCATGGAGTTTCACTGTGTGGTGGGTGCAGCAATGCACTGCATCAACGCATCCTCCCTAAACTGACCTGATTGGGTTTAACTAAGTATATACATTATATTTCCAAAAGTATTTGGACACCCCTCCAAATCATTGAATTCAGGTGTTCCAATCACTTCCATAGCCACAGGTGTATAAATTCAGGCACCTATGCATGCAGACTACTTCTACAAATATTTGCAAAAGAATAGGTCGCTCTCAGGACTTCAAGGATGGTACCATGATAGGATGCCACCTGTGCAATAAGTCCATTCATGAAATTTCCTCGCTACTAAATATTCCACAGTCAACTGTTAGTGGTATCATATCAAAGTGTAAGCATTTAGGAACAACAACAACTGAACCATGAAATACTTGGCCACGTAAAATCACAGAGCAAGGACAGCGCATGCTGAGGCGTACAGTGTGCAGAAGTTGCCAAATATCTGCAGAGTCAGTAGCTCCAGACCTCCAAATTTTGTGTGGCCTTCAGATTACCTCAAGAGCAGTACATAGAGAACAGCTGCATCCAAGCCTTACATCACTAAGTGCAATGCAAAGTGCTGGGTGCAGTGGTGTAAAGCTCGCTGCTACTGGACTATAGAGCAGTAGAGACGTGTTCTCTGGAGTGACAAATCACGCTTCTCTGTCTGGCAATCAGATGGACGAGTCTGGGTTTGGCGGTTGCCAGGAGAACAGTACTTGCCTGACTGTATTGTGCCAAGTGTAAAGTTTGGTGGAGGGGGATTATGGTGTGGGGTTGTTTTTCAGTGGTTGGCCTTGGCCCCTTAGTTCCAGTGAAAGGACCTCTTAATGCTACAGCATTTGAAGCCATTTTGGAAAATTTCATGCTCCCAGCTTTGTGGAAACAGTTTGTGGATGGACCCTTCCTGTTACAACATGACTGCGCACCAGTGCACAAAGAAAGGTCCATAAGGACATGGCTCAGCGAGTCTGGTGTGGAGGAACTTAACTGGCCTGCATAGAGCCCTGACCTCGACCCCATAGAACACCTTTGGGATGAATTAGAGCAGACTGCAAGTCAGGCCTTCTCGTCAAACATCAGAGCCTGACCTCACAAATGCTCTCCTGGAAGAATGGTCAAAAATTCCCATAAACACACTCCTAAATCTTGTGGACAGCCTTCCCAGAAGAGTTGAAGCTCTTATAGCTGCAAAGGGTGGGCCAACTCCATATTAAAGCATATGTATTAAGAATGGGATGTCATTAAAGTTGATGTGTGTGTAAAGGCAGGTGTCCCAATACTTTTGGAAAAATGATATATATCATGGCAATAACCAAATAAATCATGCTGAACACTTACCAGAGATCAATCTGAACAGTTGTGCTTACTGATTGTTTTCACCCCTACTTTACTGTGTGTGATTACTGGCTCAGTAATCACACACTGTTTAATTAGGAACTTAGTTTAGGCTAATCTCTGAATGGCCTGCAGTGTATGACTGTGTGTCTGTGAGTTTATATGGGGTCCATGTCAGACTGGCATCCCATCCAGGATTTTCCCCAGTCTTGTGCCCTGTGATAGACTGGCATCCCATCCAGCGTGTGCCCCAGGCTTGTGCCCTCGATTCAAACTCCAAACCCCTCTGATCCTGACCAGGTTAAGTAGTTGGAAGATGGATGGATTAATTTTAGTTCCAGATAATACATTAGTCAGTAGGATGGATAAAGACACCACAGAAAATAATTTCATGGATGAAAAATGAGCACACTTATTTCCAAAATATTTCATAACTTTATTTGGTTTCTGTTATTTTTTCATTCAAAAGCTAATGTCAGCAATTGTTCTAGTCTTAAAAGTAAAATATGCTATGTAGGGTTATGAAGGGCAATCAAATTATTAAAGCCTTGAGCTTGATTAACCAGCAACATAAAATTCACATTTTTCCTCCCTGACAACTTGTTATCAGACAACTTGTTAGAGAAGCAAATTAAATGTCCTTCTCTCTGTAACTTACTTCTATGAGCTGTTGGACTGCCAAAGTGAACTAATTTAACCAGTGTAGTTCTCCTTCTATCCACAAGATGGTAGACTAGAATGGGAAGATGTGAAAATACAAGTTTGGCAGCAAAACCACAGCAAAACAAAGACACTTATGTGATACGTATTGTTGTAGAACAAAGAGCAGCTACTAATGGGTTCTGGATAATCTAATGAGACACACACACACTAAGGGTGTGGGATCCTTGAAAAAGACACACACACCTTTAGTGATTATGCTCGCTGGTCCTGAGTTATGTTTGGTCACGGGGTGGAGGGGCATCAATATGCCAGTCACCACAGCCCTGATTTCTGCCATAATTCTCAAAAGATTTCAGTTTCGGCTGTAGATTTGTGTTTTGAATGGAAAATAAAAGAAACAAAAAGCACTCTCTGCACTGCACTGGCAGAATCAGTGAGGCGATTCTTTTTTGGCAAGCTCTTTACAATTCACATCATGTCCTTGTCTTCCCACTACATCACTTTTTTCTTGGTGAAATCCAGTTTCAACATGTGGTTGCGTGTCTCCAGCGTTTGGCCGCATGCCCTCCAAAGGACTGAAGGATCCAGGATATTCAGTGTGAGCCGACCTGGAAGGCCACACCCCCCTGTATTGATGTCGCGCTTTGCAACTGGGCTGCAAGCTTGGAGTGGGACATGCACCATAGCATCACTGGCAAACTGGACTGTACTAATCAGGCTCACTGGAAGATAGGAAAAACAGAAAGGTTTGGCAGTACACTGCGTGTGAGACAGCATTGACTGCAGACCTCAGAGTCTACTGCACTGATAGAGCTCTTGCCTCATATGCAGAGAACACTGATGTAGTTGGATGGAAAGGTAAACTTGGTTACATAAATACACATCTTATTATTACATAGCATCAACTGTGGTCTGAATATCACAGACACACACAGGGACAGTCTTGCCTGTGGCTTGTGTCTGCATCCCAGGTCTAGAGACAAATACCAGGACCATCCCTGACAAGCCTGGTGGCTGATGGTCGCACGCAGTTTGACAATGACGCAGTAAGCCTAAGCTAACCACACTTACCTCTGCTTAGACGTGTGTGTAAGATGCTCAGTCCAGGATCTCCTTGATGCACCAGCAACAGAGCAAGACATATAGGCAATCCTTCAGCCATTGGAAGATGCTGTATGCAAAGCTACTCCCCAAGAAATTTTTGCCCCTTGCTATGCCAAGGGCAGCATTGTGGAGATTCTGCCCCCATGAGTAGGGTGTAGCCCGGGCATGCATCATGGGGGCACAGTGACCCAGCCACAGCGTCAGCCAGCTAGGAGGGGGTTACCTTAAAGTGTCCTGGCACTGCAGCAAGCTCAGGGTAGAACTTGTGCTCCCTGATCAGAGATTTTCCTCCCGCTTCTCTTCAGTCTGACCTCAGCCCCACGTTGTGTAGCCTTCAGTGTCTGCTACCCGTCTCTCTGATTTCCACTGACACGTTTTATACCTTCTGGCTTTTTATACTAGTCTGGAAGATACCATAGGAGCAGGTGCCCCCCCAGGCCGATTATCCCTCTCTTGGTTGAATGTTTAGAGCCAGACTAATGAGGCTGCCCTCAGCCACCTTTCCAGCATGTTCTGTTACCCTCCATCTAGCATGTACCCTCCATCTGCACATAAATGCCTGCGCTGTTTATCCTAATCCCACATGATCCCATGTCTTTCTCTCTTTCATTCATTCCATCCAGAAATATCCCTTTTACTGCTTGTCCCCCTCTGGGAAAAAAAAAGAACAATCACAACCTAGTAGTTATGTAACCACTTTCAATTTTAACATGACACTTAGAATTGCTGGAATTTGAATAACCAAACTCTGTGACCATCACCACCTCGTCAATTCACCATCCTTTAATCTTCTAAACCATTTCTTAACTGCAGCCTATAACTACACAGAACATCCCACAAGCCTATTTTGATGTTGTTTTCCTAGTAAGGGTGTCTTCCTCTGACAGGAGTATGAAACAGGCATTGTGAAAATATTGTATAAAATTTCTAAATAATAGTGATAGTATAATGCAGCAAATGATACACAAATGTGACCAAAAGACTGTGGTTTGACGTGGTGGCTCTGTGGACAGTGCTATCACCTCACACCTCTGTGGTTGGGGATTCAAATCTTGTCCTGCACTGTGTGTGTGTGTGTGTGTGTGTGTGTGTGTGTGTGAGATCATTGAGCAGATCTGTTATTTTAACCTTTGTGCCTTTGTGGGGACATTTTCTCTTTAAAATCAATCATAAAAATCTGTGAATGCAATCAAAAAACAAAAAAAAAACGGCAAAAGCATTTATATTTTCTTGGTTACATATGGGTAAGGTTAATGCTGGGTAGGGGTTAGGGGTGTCATTGTTGGGATTAGGACTTTGCCCCTAGAAATGAATGGACGGCAAAGATATAAGTACAAGTCTGTGTGTGTGTGTGTGTGTGTGTGTGTGTGTGTGTTCTCACTAGGTTTGAAGCATGGTTTTCATATTAGTTGACATTCCAGTTAAGCTTTTAAATAATTGAATTTCAGTGGGATGTTACCTGTATTCTACTGCATCATGTTTCTTGACACTCCTTGGGTAAATGTTAATTGAAGTACCTCACACAGCAAATGTGGAATTTAGGGACCTTTATTGAAGATTTCCGCAAAATGAGTTTCATACAGCACATAATGCTTCCTGACTGAATATAATTAATATGCAACTGAACTACTAAAACACACTTCACCACTGTCTTATTTTCATCTGTACATTTATTTATGTGGTATGTATGTGGATATATGGGCAGGTAAATGGGGTGGAAGCAACAGGGTGTCCAGGTTCAAAAACAACTTTTCCCTAAAGAGAAAATCAGCCCAATCAGAGTCAGGTGGGCTTCATTAAGTCAACTTTTTCAGGCAGCACTCAGAAACCCACAGCAGGTGGGATCATTGGGCCTCATTCACCAACCGTTCTTACAAACAAATGTGTTCTTAAACCCCACGTATGCACTTTTTTTTTTACAAAGATTCTGACATTCACCAATGTTCTCTTATCTGAATTTGTTCTTGGCTAAGAGCAGAATCTACGCACACTCAAGACCATTCGTACACACATTTGAGTAATGATAGTTTGTTCAAAATAATTGGTTATAGCAGTTTTGTTCATTCTACAGTTCATAAAATGATAGTATTTTAATAATTTATAAAAGTCAAATATAAAAAATAATTTTAAAGTGTAAAAATTATTTTCATGGTAGTAACGGCGATTATGCGGATTATAAATAGGTCAGAATGTTAGTTAAAAAGTGCGTACGTGGGGTTTAAGAACAAATTTGTTTGTAAGAACGGTTGATGGTTCAGACCCCCCACAGGTTTGTGGGGGGTCTGAAGCCTATCGCAGAAGCTACGGGTGCAAGACAGAGAACAATCCAGGATGGGCCACCAAGCCATTGCAGGGCACAGTCACACACCACTCACTCACACATACACACCTATGGGCAATTTGGTGACTCCAATTAGCCTCGGCATGTTTTGGGACTTTGGGGGAAAACTGGAGTACCCAGAGGAAACCCCATGATGGCACGGGGAGAACATGCAAACTCCACACCCATAGAACCCTGGTAGAGACTTGAACCCAGATCCCAGAGGTGTGAAGCGACAGTGCTAATCACTGCACCTCCCTGCTACCCATCACAGCACTTGTCTTTCTCAAAAGCAGTATGTTGTTGTTGAAGTGTGGCGAGTCCCAATCGTCACAGATATTACACTTAATGTGTTACATAGTAGTTCTGCCACTGAGAATCTTTATCTGCATTATATGCACTTTTAAGAAGATTACAAAACATTTAATTCAAGGTTATTACGAAATTTTGTATTGTTTCATGCATATTATTTGGTTCCAGAACCAATATTAAATGTGTTCAGCAGGATACAGTTATATTATAATGATATTAATATAATTACTACAGGATGCAGTGGAGCCATGTTTCTGTTACCTTTGTGTTTCACAAATTACTTATTTCTTATTTGAAAATAATTATTCCTTAGTTATATTTAAAATGAATTATTTAAAATGTAAAAATTTGAGGTATTTGTTTAGTCTTCAGTTTATAGTTATAGATTTACAGTTTAGAATTGAACTTGGGTTTTTCCGGATTTGACCTCGGATTCAGTGACCCAGCTCTGGCAAAGAACACAGTCTTGTGTCAATTTCACCTTCCTGTTGCATTGGTTGTGACTTGGACTCAGCTAAGGTGGACTTGAACACAGCACTGGTTTTCTCCTCGTACTGGGGCAGGCGTCCCTGTGACTGGAAGCTGGATGGGAAAACTGACCATATCAGGTTTGTAAAATAATAATAAATATTGTACTGAAACTAAACAAACGGAGACACACAAACATGCCCTATATGCTCAGTGCATCCGATCATGTGTGCTGCCTGTATCTGTGTATGTATAGTCATTGGGTAAGCATTTGTAAGTGTGTGATGTCTGTCATGCATCTGATGTATGTTAGTATTACAGGTAAACACACCAAATGTCCATAAAACACAGTATAAGCACAATATTTCACCAGAGCAATAAAACTAGATGGCTTCCCTGGTTGGGGGTCCAGGATGCCCCTGCCTGGTGCCCTGTGATGGACTGGCATCCTGTCCAGGGTGGATTGTGCTAAAAATGCCCCTGTACTGGATTAGCAGTCATGGAAGATGGATGGATATGCAAGAAAACTAACAAGGATTTAAAAAGGCATAGGTGACAGATTCTGAGGAATAGGGCTCCCCGGGGGTGTGTGTGTTGGCCCGCTGCTCTGAGCTCTGCATAAATGCTAACGGAGCCCCCCCGAGGCTGCCCGAGGCACTGCCTCTCATTTACACTGAGGCACAAGCGCCATGCACAGCTGCTCTCACAAAGCAGCACACTCTCAGAAGGCATGCAATACACCATGAAAGGTTTCAAGGTGCAAAATATACAAACAATGCTGTGTCTTTGGGAAATAAAACAATGATTATTGAGTAGAAATAAAAATATTAAATCAGCGCACAAAAATGTGGTAGTAATAATGATTAATTTGGGCCAAAATTAGAAAGAAATTTTATTGCTTTGTTCTTGTCTAACAAACAACAAATGGATTGAGATTTTAGGGCTGACTCCTTTCTGACTGAGTGTTCCTCTTTGCTATCTCACTGTCTGTCTCTAGGCATGCTTTTGAAAAATGGTAAATGGGATACCAGAGACTGTCATAGTATCATTCTCTGTTCTACCTGCTGTGGAAGTCAGTCTAATACTCTCTATCTGTACTGTACCCCAACGTGTGGTTGGGTGCTCACATGCCAGTCAGTGTTTCACTGTGTGCAGTGTTCAGTGCTGCACAGCTGCACATCAGGAATTAAATCATGATCACTGAGATTTTTCCCATTTTGAGCCCATCATTTTTCTTTTACAATTTTTAGGTTCTTTCCAATTTTATATGAGACTCAATTATTGCCACACCTCCGCACTGTCCAGTCATTCACCCTGTCTGATTTAAACCCTCTATCCCATGGCAGATTAGAAGACCAGAGTTCTGTTCAAAATTATGGCTGGTGAACCATTGCAGGACAAGATTTTATGTTGTATTTTTTTTTTTCATTTGTTAAGATGAGCCAGGGCCTGGCAATATTTAATAGGGCAACATTCTAGGTCAGTATTTCCAACCTGATCCCATGTTTTTGCTCCCTCCCAGTTCCCTTTCAGTCCATGTTTTTGGGAGCTGAGAGGGAGCAAAAATGTGCACTGTCTGCAGGTCCCTGAGGACTGGGTTGAGAAAGACGGCTCTAGATCATTACAGATTTAGCTGACCAAATCATCACTGTTCCTGCGCCTGATTCTCAGGTGTGGAAGACTGGGTGTGTTTTGATGCTCTGTCACCTTTTTATGATGGCTGAGCAGAGAACCCATCCCAGCACACAATGCCCATCTGTTTTCCTGTGTGCTTCAACTATCTCTTGTTTACTTTCTTCCCCACCCTTTAGTTAAACTCATCTCCCTCCCGTATACAAATCAAGTCCCAGATCTGTCCTCCAATGCCCAGGTCACATGATTTTGATTCATTGTGCACCTGTAGCACTTTCTTACTCTGGCGCACTGTGTGATCAAAGTCTTTTTTTTCTAAAATTATTCCGTTCCTGCAAATATCATCTCCACTCTGAGAAATACGAACAAACCTGTTTAAATCTGAAACACTTATGCCCCCCCCACCCCCACCCTGCTCTCTCTGCGACCCCTATCTCTCTCCCATTACAAGCAATCCTGCTCACTCGATCACCACTGGAAGTCCTGCCCCACTGCAATGCTTTTGTTTTCCTGCTCATCCTCTGTTGCTCTTTATTATGTAGCTGTCAGGCAGTGTTTGGTCATTTTTCTTCTTCCATGTTTGTTTGCCCCCGTTTGCTGTGATGTGTACTATGATGTGAATTACTGTGGCTCCTCACACACCATCCATGTTCAATAAGCAGCCGTCTAATCAAGGATGCAGTGATGCAGGACCTGTGATTGCAGGGGATATCAACTCATAACACCCAAAGACTAATGCACACAAAGGTAAGGCTGGGAGTCATTAATTCAGCAGAACTGCATGTTTTTGGACTGCAAGGGAAGACCCCATGCCAAGCCGGTACCACCTTTTAATCTGAACCCCAAAGGCAAGCAGAAGCACTGCCCTTGAGCCACTGTGACACCTTCATCCCACTTATTTCGGTTCCCTCAATACTCTACTGAATTTCCCACATTAACACGCCCACACACCCCGTCATCTCGCCAGAGAGAGAAGGCTGTGTGGATTATGTTATAAAGCTAGAGTTCTGTTTTTAACTGAAACAAAATTACAGATCAATATCAAGGTATTTAAACATGTTGACACACTGCAATTTACAGTTGCAACATATTGATTTCCCCAATACGACAGTATATAAATATCCGTGGTGCTGCATGTAAACATGTCACTGTGTTGCTGTATTGCAGTGTTTCCATTGCTGGAGTACAAATGTGTATTACCATGTTACTTCTAATACAAGTATATTTGTATTTATCCACATTCAGTCAATCTTACCTGAAATGTCACCTTTTATGTTCCATCCCCCCTTCCTTTATCAATTCAGCTTGCCATTCTTCATCATTTTCCTTGTAATCAGAGGTGGTAGGAGCTTTGGTGGAAATGAGGTAACAGACTCCTGCCCTGAGGATACACTTGACCTTTATCCTGCAATTCCCAAAGCATGCCAATTGTAACTGTACTTGTCCCATGACTGGCCAAGTAATTTCACTGTTCACTCTATAAGTGTATTTCTGTGTACGTGTATCTCTGCAAGCATGATTTTACTTTTCAGGGTGCGAAACTGCAAGAGAAAAATATAATACAGACATATCCTTCTTCTCTGTTGTTACTATGATCTTGCTGTTGCTGTGGGGACCTCATTGCAATTAATTATTTCGCCAAGTAAATGTAATTATAGTTCATAATTTAAGCCTACACATGCTGGTGTAGGGTGGGGGGCAGCAGTGAAGCAGACTGCATGCCCACTGATCATGTGACCTCCCATAAGTACACAGATCCCACTGTGGAGAGCATATACAGGAGAGGGCCAGTATAACAGATATAGGGTGGGCGTGCAGATGTTACTTATTTTGTGGTTGCAGGTGTTTTTATAAAAGTAAGAGTGTGGTGATGCTCACTGAGCATGTCTGAATCTGCTATGATGATTACAGCACCCCCCGGAGTAACAACAAATGCTCAATTGGTTCCCCAGCTGGAAGCTTGGGTCTTAGTCTCTCAAGTTAATCTTTCCTCTTGCCAGGAGACTGCACAGGTGTTCATAAGTTTTGAGGACACAGGTTCTGCTTAGGGTGAGAAATTTTGCACTTGGGCATCAAAAGTTCTATATCCAGAGCAGAAAACTTCAACCACAGAAGCATAGCAACTGATTTCTGTATCACCTTTTCAAATCTATAGTCACAACGACCCTGGGTGGTTCACGCTGTGAAGAGCTATTATTGGAGACTGGATGACTGTGGGGATCCACATTCAGCACAATTTGGAAGTAGGCTGAGATTAGACATTTACATTCATTTATTTGGGAGATGCATTTGTTCAAAGTGATATACAAGTAAGGTAAATAGCACATTACAAACATACAGCTGACAAACTAGGCATTAGTGAGGCTAGACTGAGCTTCCAGTGAATACCGCATTTGACCTCAGTGGAAAAACCTGAAAGATTAAATGTATGAGACATTATCTATGGAGAAGACTCACAGGTGAATTGTATTACATTGAATTACATAAGACATCTTTAAAATATTCATCCATATATTTTCTACAACCGGTTGTCCTAAGCAGGGTAGCAGGGGTCCGGAGCTTATTCCAGAAGCTAGGGGCACAAGGCAGGGAATAATCCAGGATGGGGCACCAACCAATTGCAGGTTTAAAAAAATGCAAGATATCTTAAGATGTATATGAAGAGTACAAGATTAGAATTACCTATTTAAACAAGATTTGTCTAAAAAAAGTTTAGTTTAAATCAGGGGGCTTCAACTCGGGACCGCGACATCCCTGGGGGATTGTAGAGAGACATATTGTAAAGTGAATGAAATGTAGTGCAGATATCATCCGAGACTCTCCATCCTTAGGGACAAGTTTTCAAGGGGGGTCCTCAAATCAAGAAATATGAAAGCTGCTCATTATTCTTTAAGTATTACGTGATAACGCATTAGTTAATTCAATATAATAAATTAGCTTTACGTTGCTTATATACACGCTTACAGTAGTTCGTCTTTCAAATTTCAACTAAATTCAAGGCACCAAAGAATCTTAGCTATTATTTTCGAGTCGGTCAAATGACGTCACGGTGGTTGCCCGCTTGCACAGCTCAACCAATAACAGATCACCGTAGTGTCACATGGGTTAATCAATCTGCTGACTGGATTGGTCGGATGGTTTGAAAATTCAAGGGCGGAATCTTCGAAGCCACAGAGCTAGGAAGTGATAGAGTGCTGGGGAGGAACCGAAATATTTGTAAAAGCGAGCTAAACGAATAAATGAAAGAATAAACAAGTTATACCTGATCAATCTCTATACGTTGCACAAATACGCAATTTTGGATACTGCGTAGGTTTGAGGGATAATCTGTCTTCTTCCGTCTTATGAAGAAGGACTCGGCAGCACTCCAAGGTATACTTTTGAACGAGTAAATTATTACTTCATAATGCGTATTTCGTTGCAACCATGACATTAGCTTGATTGGGGAGTGTCTCTTTTTGACAAACCGATGTGTAACTTTATTCAGTGGTTTAGTCATGTCACAGAAGCAGATTTACTACTCGGATAAATACGACGATGAAAAGTTCGAGTACAGGTGAGTAACGAGCTTGAACTAAATAAATATACATAACGTGTGGTTATGTTATGACTATAAGTGAATGCTTAAAACTTCTGGTGTACTAGGTACCTTATTAATTTAGAAATGCGACTATGTTGCGTGTGTGTGCGCGCCCCTCCCCCAGGCACGTGATGCTGCCCAAGGACATAGCCAAGCGCGTTCCGAAAACGCACCTAATGTCGGAAACAGAGTGGAGAAACCTGGGTGTCCAGCAGAGTCAGGGCTGGGTGCACTACATGATTCACCAGCCTGGTCAGTATCAATGTTTTGTTTGGGTCATTTAAATAAATAAATGTTATATTCTGACTATAGTCTGGTCTGACTATTCGTTAGTGATAATTGCTCACTAGCTTGCAGCTGCTAACCTATTATGTAGTAGATTTTTAATACATTGTGGACAGATCAGCAATTAAGATTATACAGTCTTTTACTGTCAAGTAATACATGGTGTTTGGAGTGCTGCCAAGCTACCTTGAGCAGAGAGGTCCATGCTGACTTAAACGTTTTTTTTTTCTTCCTCATTCACACATCACGTTTGCAGTAATTGTATGTAACATGCTTTTTCTTATACACTAAAGGGCCAGGTGCTGAACTAAGTACATTTTATATGTCTGTGATTTGTATTGTGCCTTGATACTTGGTGCTTTATTTGCCTGGCTGCCTGATCTCTCTGTGTCCTCCTTCCCTGTTTTGGCCCCTGCCTTTGTGCAGAGCCCCACATCCTGCTGTTCAGACGCCCTCGACCGCCTGCGGCCTCACAGTGATGCACGACAGGAAACCGGCATGCGGCCCAAGTGTAAGCGGAGTGGATGGGACAGGCCTGTGGAATCACGGTGCTATGTGGCGTCCCCAGACGTGTGGGCTTTGTCTTGACCCAGGCCATTTCCCCAAACCCATTCCAGGCAGCCTGCTAAATCCCAGCACTTGTGCTAATGCTGGGTGTTTGTGAATTTTTCAGCAGAGTTTACTCTGCTGAAAGTCCTGGGCTTTGTTTAGCCATTGGAGGAATGCTGCTTCCCTGGATCATTTGAGCACTGATGAATGTGTAATATGATGTTTGTTTACATTTTGCGTAATTCATATAGTGCACAAGTAATGACACTTTTATTGTACTTTTCCCATTGGATGAATTGCAGTGATTAACCTTTGCCAGTGTTACTTGTTTGATTCATAATAAAAAGTCTGAAGTGATGTGTTTGTACCGAAGTTTAGTTATCTGCTCATTTTTTTGAATTTTACAATTTTTTTTCCTGAATGTGTGGCCTGAATGTGTTCTGAATGCCTTTTACTGTAAGAAAGGTGAGTTAGGTGGTCATGTCTCTCCTCTCTGGATGATTGCCCTCATCACCCCCATACTGAATGTTTCTGCCAGAATAGTTATATGTATATGTGTTTCATAGTATGTATAGTATATGTGTGTGTAGCCTGTGAGAAACTGATGTCTCATCCAGGGTGACTTTTGGCCCAAGTGTCTTGTGTTTTCCGTTAGAGCCTTCAGAGTCTTTAACCTTATGTTGTATAGGTGCATTTAGGAGATGGATGGAGCCCTTTGCTTTCTTCTGAGATGTCATTTATCTGAGTAACCTTGAAGAGGTTAAGATACCAAATATCACTTTAGCACTGCAGTATGTTTTTGAAACTGCAGATTCCTGTTTTATTATGCTTCTCCTGTCAGTTTCATAATGTGTAGATTTATAAGTACTGCTCCCAGTGGCCTCTAATGCTTGAGATCACCAGTGTTATAATTACACCATGTCCTCTCAGTGGTCCCAGTAATCATTCTCTTTGCCTGGTTGTGTTTGTCAACTTCTGAATTGAATCCAATTGAAAATCTGGAAGATACTGTCCGTACACAGTTGCTATGTAACGAAGCTGGGCAAAATCTGAAGAGAGAAACCCACAATAACTGCCCACAACCTGTTGTGCAAATTTGGTAATACTTAGCAAGAAAGACTTTTGCTGCTGTAATTGCTCCCAAAAGTGGTCACACCATATGAGTTTGGGGCTCTGAATACTAATGCAGTTTGTGTGTATTTTTTTTCTTCAGCTTAAGTGACTGTCAGCAGACACCCTTGCCCTTAGAAATCCAATTTTGAGCATTTTGCTTTAAAATATGAAAAAAAAAAAAATAAAATTACAGAATGAGACATTCACTTTGTTCCCATGCTATCTGAGCCATTTACTGGACCAGTAACCCTGTTAAATGGAGAATTCCAGCAGTGTTGCTGGTAAAGCGACAAACTGCATGCAGAATCTGTGCTTGTCGTCCCATAATAAAATGATCCTGAAGTGCCACCTAGAGGATATGCAGCAAGGCTTCATTAGTGCTGTGCAGAGCTGGAACACATTCACATGGGGTTAGAATTTCCAGAATTAAAGGATGCCTCTGTGGGCTCACATTGAAAGACTTTGCACTTAGAAATGTGAGGTAACAGCCTTTGCTTTGTTACCACAGATTGTCGTGTTCCACCTGTGGAACCATGGAAAGTTCTTCCTTTGGATTTGATGTATATTACTTTAAAACAGCTATGATTATTTGCTGAAATGTAACATATTGACGGCTACTATGTGGATAATTGGTTACAACAATGTTCAGCGTGATACAAAAATGGTTCATTTTGAAAAGAAATGGGAGAAGACCTGTATCAATATTTTGTAAAACCTCTAGAGATAGAGGTCTAAATTAATTTATTTGGACAATATACATAAATTCACAACTTTTGTGGGCATTCACAGGCTATTTCAGTATCAAAACATTAAATCCTAGTGAAGTTCTTTTCAGAAATACATAAAACTGTAACAAATGTTTAAAAAAATGGTGAAGAACTCTGACATAGAGCTTTGATCACCTGTTCAGACTGCTGAATTGTTCTCTGGCCTAGTTGTGGGGTGAAGATGGGCTGTTAAACATCATCAACCTGGAGCTACCCAGCACAGGAATATCACCTTGTGTTAACTGGCTGGGACATCAGCATCTTCTCCAACAGGCACCTACTGATGGCTGCTCCAGGTGCAGCCCACAATGATGGAGCTGCCAGAGACGAGATCTCCACACTTCATGTAAGTAGGTGTTCAATAAAGGAGGCCAGAATGTTTCTATCTACATATTGGTTACTGGTTTCTGCAGTCAACCGTAGGGGGAGGGCAGTGGTGCAAACTGCCTCATTGAGCAGTGAGACACTACCAACATAAAATAGAAACTACCAATACATTCAATCACAGAGTTGGACAATCACTGCAGCATACACCTATTCAAATTGTATTTGAGTTTATTAGCCTGATTAAAAGGGTAAAATTCAGGTCTTCATAGAAGATGCACAAAATTCACAAAAATGTGAAAAGGTACAAAACAAAAATCTGTCTTTTTTCCCCCCAAATGACAGAACTCAGAAGAACAAGAGAACATTGTAAAAGAATAAATGTGAGTACCCTGATCATCCCTGCTGCTCAATCTGAATCAAGTGTGAATCCTGGTTCCAGACCCACAGTTCAAAGTGCTCTTTGCTGGCCTTTTCCCATCATTTATCATTGAATGGGCACCTTTATCTGGAGCAGCTTCCAAAAGGAACTTACAACCATATTCCGTATTGACAGATATGCTGTGCTGACACCAGAATAATGGAGGTTAAGGCAAATTACAAGCTAAAATTGCAAGTAGAAGCACACCTCCGGCCCCTGGGAAACAGAATACGCACTACATAATCACTACCATAACTAGGGACGGCTGTCATAATTAGCATAAGCAGTAAATACTGTAATACAATGCATGTTATTTTAAGTCAACGTTTATCACAATAATTAATTCTGCAGTAATCAAAATCTCTGGTGTTTATTACCACAATGAATTCAATAGTACTTGTATTCTAAACCAGTTGGGTACAAGTCTGGTTCTATACTAGCTCTGTGTATACAGGTTTTTGGTCCAGGCAACCTCTAGTCAGTCACAGTATTCAGGATTGATTACATTGTATTAATCTCTCTGCTTCGTCTAATAAGTTGCAAACTGCAGCTAAAGCAGAAACAGTGTTATAGATACCGAATAAATCAACAGAATGGACCTTCAAGTTCATTTACAAGTATGATGCAACAAATTACTATTCAACTTAATTAGGATTAATTCAGTTATTGAATTGTTCAAAGGCTATGAACTATTAAGTAATCTATGTAGTTTAATATTTAATTAACCATAATTAGATTTGGCATGGTATTATTATTTTAAGAGGCAAAAATGAAATATTTCCTTATAGCTTATGTCAGTTAAAGTACCATCTCAGAATTTATTAATGGGTAAAGAGGTCAAATTGGGTCAGAATTCAATCACGAGAACAATGAAGCCTAATTTATTTGGTCAGTTGGAATAAAAGCCAGCAGACACAGGAGCCTGGACTCCGCTGGTGTCCAAAGCACATCGACATTTGAATCTTCCCAATGCAAACTAGGGGCTTTTCATAATGAGAAAATGCCTTCAAATTCAGTCAAATTCAGCTTCTTTTACTCAGTTGTCTAATAAAACTTAACTAAAATGCCAAAACACACATGAAGGATTACAACTACATGCAGATTTTACATGAGAAACTGTGGTGTAATTTCAGGTATAAATCATACAGATTAGCTACTAATTGGACCAGAAGGTCAGGAGGAAGGGGTGTAATATAAATTCAGCTGACATGGCAATTCAGGGACACAGGTTTGCCCATAAGGCACAAGTGCATACCTTATTCAATCACTGCTACAATCTTGCTTTGATTGAGGCCATAAAAACAAAACTCGCCAGAACTGCCAGTTTTGGTTGTGCAGTTTTGGTTGATATGTGTGTGTGTTCACTGGTCACCTTGGTGCACTGGAAACCCGATGCGTGCCAGGTTTGGCGCCGGGTTTCTTATAGGAATATTTCTTCTGTTATCTTCACGACGCTCACCGGCTGATTGTCTGTAAAACCCCGTGTAATTATATTGATTGCTGTGGTCCAGCTTCTTTGCCAAGTGACTACCAGCCTCATCTTGTCCTCTTGGGTAGCAATAAGCTCCTGATGAGCGATTAGTGTCCCTCTGTCTCAGCTCAGTGTGGCGGGTGGGGCTAACATGACACCAAAGCAGGAGATGGATGCCACCCGCTTTGGAGACAGTGGTCAGCTAGAAAAGGCCCCCCCGGGGGTGCATGGTGGAATCAGCGGGGGCCAGACTGCAGTCGGAACTTCACATGAGGACACGTTTGAGACAGCGAGGGCCTCCAAAGGACTTTGAGTAGGTCAGGGCAGATTTGGGGAAAGATGTGGTCTTAACGAGCTGTGTTAACAAGCCGTGTCAGATGGCTGAGAGAAAGAGCAGCAGGAAGAGGGGGAACAACGAGGACAGGCTGCCGGGGGCCGCTGATCGGCTGTGTACCGCACTCTGGGTGGGCTCAGCACCTGGGGGGAGAGACACTGTCAGCACTGCTGGACACACACACATGCACAGCCCACATATTCATATCTTTATGTGGAATCTCTGTTAATTTCTGAGGGAATAACTCTAATCCCAACTGTGATAACCTTAACCATAAGTAACCAAACAAAACACAAGACTTTTGGCATTTTTGGTCTTTATTGTGTTCACAGTTTTTTATATAATTTAGGGTATCCTTTTGGGGCTGGAAAATATGTCTCCACAAGGTAAAAAGTTACAGGTTATCATCACTGGTCCCCACAATATAATAATTACAAACACAGACAAACACATTCGTAATTACATCTTTGCGGGGACTCTCCACTTATTTCTATGGGGAAACCTTTAATCCCAACATGACAAACTTAAGCCCTACCCAGCCCTAACCTTGACCATAAGTAGTCACACACAATACGAGTCTTTCAGCATTTTTAGTTTTTTAAATGGATTCACAGATCTTTGTGGGGACCTGAAAAATGGTCCCCACAACATCAATATAACAGGTCTTTATTACATTGTGGGGAACATTTGGTCCCCAAAATGTTATATAAACATAATCCACATACACACATGCACACACACATTTACCTGTCACTACAGGGCCCTCATACTGACTCTCTCCATAATACAGTACATGATTCCCAATTCTCCCTCTGAGGGGCGTGGCCTTAGCATGGTGGGGGGTCTGTATGCCTTAATGATCCACATAGCCTTGTCATCTGGTGCCCTTGTCTGTAGGGGATGGGGACAGGGGGGTTGTGGGGGCAAAGCACAATCTTTCAAAGACCCCCGATGGAAGGAAGCTGAAAAAGAACAAGGGCACCCTGCAGGGAACAGGGATACTGGGAAGCGGGGCTGCTTTGTGGGCTAAGCACCTGCGGGACGAATGGCAGGGGGCGGGTGCGGTGCCAACAGGTGGCCGGAACAAATGGGGAGGACCCAGGCGGATTAGGCCTTGGCTTTGGGAAGGAGGAACTCTCTCTCTGTGACAGGCTGAGGAGCCTGGAAATCCAGAGTGACCTCGAAATAGATCCACTGCTCCTTGGGATCAAGCTCTTATAAGGGAGCCGATCCAGGCACATCCCGCCGAGGAAGGCCTGAGATGCTGGAGGGGAACAGCTCCAGCTCTGAATCGCTGGGTGGGCCACAGGATTATCTAAGGGGCCTTGGTGAGCAGATTTAATAAATTTAACCATTCCATTTTTTAACCGTTCTGGGGGGCATGGTGCCAACCCACCCCTCAGTATGAAAAGCAGTGAAATGCTTACAGTTTCTATCTCCCTAACAAAGCCACACACACACACACACACACACACACACACACACACACACATACTGACTGAAAGCATTGTATTTTATCATTTAAATACAAAGGTCTATTTACTGGGGGGATGAATGAATACAAATTCCATGCTTCCTACCCCCCCTACATACATGCACAAGAAAACACGCTCTGACAGCCTGGCATGGCCAGCAAAGGACAAGCATCCAGTATAAAACAGTGCCTGGTGCAGAAAGTTACAGAGGGAGCTGGGTGTGGGGGCTGATATCTGGGATTGAGGCAGTGGAGGCTGACGCACAGTGTTCACTTTAATATTTCACTAATGCTGCTGAAAGCATTGATTAACTTGCATTTAGCGCAGGGTTGCATGCCAGGCCATTTCCTATAGCCTGTATAAATAGCATGCATTACACATTTTATGTTGATAAAAGGTGCCTAAAAGGAGCTCCCTAGGCTGCGATCTGGTAGGAGCGTCCTGTAAGCTGCCAGAGGGTTTCACCTGAGGTCCACCAAATGAACCTTGTAAAGCCTCTTCTTCGATCGCTTCGGCAAATCCACATCAGGACTACACGCCGGTTCCATTGACTGAAGGTCGGACCCGGATCGACCCGTCTACTTTTGAGGCCAGAATCGACTGGCACCTTCTAATGCGGCCTCTTACCTGCATTACATCATGCCCATCACACTGCTACTTGTGTTTCTTTGCATGCTGGGCAGAGCTACTATCTGACAAGCAGTTCAGTACAGTCACACGTCCGGACGCCATATTCCCAGGCTGCCCCACATCGCTGTCCGTACCCCACACCAGACGCCTGCCCTAGTCAGAGTGACCTATCACAGCAAGCCTCCCCTGTGATGCCATTATAAGGGTCAGTCACAGCAGAAAAATTTGAAGCCCCCCACAGGGAAAAAAGTCCTGAGGTTTGTCTGTTTGTATGTAAAAACAAACGTCAGATAAATAATATCTGACACTGGTACTATACATAAGTTCTATGTATGCATGTGAGCTTATAGATATAGTGTAGGTGAGTGTATTTATACAGTGTGCATGTGTTTGGTTAAACCTCGCTTTTGCTCCTTCCAATACATTTTAAGCTGCTGGCACTGAAACAGTGGTGAGGGACAGAGAGAGAGCAGCAGCAACAAGACGTCAGCCTGCACAGCCAGAGCCCCCGTCTGCTTGAGTGATGTATGTGTCAGGCCTTTACAAAGCACCAGTCCCAGCTGCCCCCCCGCCCCCTCCAGCCCTGCACCAGTGCCGAGCACTGAAACTTTCACGCAAGAGTCAGAGGGAGGCTGTCACCCAATCTGCATGGGGTGGGGGTGGGGGGCTCCCCGGTGTCACTCTGCCCTACTTCCAGTCCTCTTGGTGTGGTGAGGCACCCTGCCGATGTGACTGATCAGTGGACCCCCCCACCCCCCATCATGTTTCCCTGCTGGTTAATCTTCAGATGTTGCAGAGGCTCCATCCTGCAGACACCTCGTTGAATTCCCCCCCCCGCCCGTCCCCGTCCCCATCAGACCTTACAGACAGCCTGCATCCCCTACGGCAGTCGAGGATTTTATCCACATTCTCAATTTACTCTTAAAAACATTATTCACTTTGCCCCAATTCTTAGCATGTCTGCCCCAGAGTGCCTACGGATACAGCAACAGCATGTTCAGCCAATCTGATTTGGTTTAACACAGCACATTTTCACCAACACTGTTCACTGCTTTATGAAGAGAATCAAAACCAGAAGAAGCATAATTGTCTATTTGAAGAAAAGAGTACAAACATACACTCACCTAAAGGATTATTAGGAACACCATACTAATACGGTGTTTGACCCCCTTTCGCCTTCAGAACTGCCTTAATTCTACGTGGCATTGATT